ATAAATTTAGACTTAAACTTCACTTTCATTTCCTGCTCAAGCTGTGTGAAGATAATGTGTTAGTGGTGACCTAAATTTGTTCCACCATACTAAACTCGCATCTTGTTAGTTTGTGGGCCAGACGTCTAATTCAGGCTGTATGAATGAAAAAGTACAGTCATTTCACCTTGATTAAAAAACTAAACCTTGTACTGTTGAAGGGAGTTTTGATTAGATGCTGGATGAAGATTTGCTTTGTCACAGGAATTTTTCTGCCTGAAACGCTTTCATACAAAATGGAAATTGGTAATATTTTCTTCCAGTTATTCAGCAGTGTAATGTTTACTTTGGAGACTTCGTTGCAGACATGAAGGAAATATTCTCTTCTGTTCTTAGACCTTACGAATGGGTATTGGAAGGATTTACTACTCAAAGAACAAAATCAAACACAGATTTAGGAAAAAATCAGAATGTATGGTTTGCATTCTACAGTTTTATTGTTCCTTGAAGGATATTGAAACACCAAATCTTATTAAAATAAGGACTTGTTGGAACACAACTTTCTCACAGTCATTTAGATGGGTGGTGCTTTTTCATTAGAAAAACTTGCGTCTCTCACTGGTAGAGGTGTCTTAAAGAATCAGTACTTTAATTTGCCTCCAATATATCCAAATAGTTCTGAAAAGCAATTTTAGTCTTTACAGATCTATGATTTGTAGTTTTAGAAAGTCCTTACATTTCAAATTTCTCTGTTTTATAGATCAATTCAAATGGAGCCAATTTTCACTTAGAAATCCTAAAAAAACGGTATATATAGGAAATATCTGTGTATATATAGTAGTTGTAGTCAAAAGTGTTGACAACCCTGGTAGTAATACTAGAGTGAATCAGTGTTTAATAAATTTTGATATCTTTGGTATAGCAGAATAGAATAATCAATACTAGAATGTTATAACATAAATATTTTAAATAAAAGGCTGTCAGCGCTGTGCCTTTTGAATGGAATATACTGTGAGTTATTCTCCAAACATATTGTCAGAATCTTCAGAAAACCACTCATCCTGGTAAGCTGAGAGGGGGATCTTCACTTATAGTTGTTTGGGAACCTCTAGTTTTAAGATTTACTGCATACTGTATACATTTGTTGTAAACACTACAAATTAGGCAATTCTGTCCTATTGATATAATAATACAATAGTAATTATATTAGTAGTAATGTATAATATTATAATAGCTATTAACCATTTGTATGTGTATATACAGTATATATAAGCAAAGTGCTTCTGAAGTTGCACAGCTAATGAAGGACTTCCATCCGAAACGTCCGGTTTCTCAAGAAACCTTGTGTACTACACCATAACTTTTCCAACATCTCTCTCTCTATAAATATATATAAATACCGCCATCACTGAATAGTTTGCCATGTTAAGCGAGTAGCCATGACATTTTGAACGCGGCTTTTAAAGTAGCTCGCAAGGTTTTCTGTGTGCCAAATGCAGATTTTTCGAGATGACTTATCTTGAGAGACCTGTCACTTGAATCAGGTGGGTGTTACTTGTCAACATACTTGTGACTAGTATCAAAATGTCTTTTTGCATTGTACGTTTTGCAAGCGCCAATAATTTTACTACAGAGCAAACAGAAAGGCTGCCCATCACGATCAATCAGGACAAATCCATTCTTCCAGTACTTTCCTACCCTCATCGCTGATGCCCCGCCTTTTTTTTTCCTCTTTGCACATGTTTCATTGTCTGTTTTTTTTTCTTTGACGTTTTCTTCCTCTGGCCCATGTCGTTTTTCACCCCTTACAACAAACATCAGTTTTTCTTTTTTTTTTCTATGAACAAGCAGGCTACTAACCTGCCGTTAGTGCGCTCAGACGCGAGACGGGCGATCCGAAAGTGTGTTCTAGTGACGCTCTATAGCCTACATGCAACACTGTCATGAAATTATAGATGAATGAATCTGATTACCAGCGCATCAATTTAACTTCTTGTCACAAAAGTGTGACACATCAAGAGAGGCTTTTCCTCTTCCCCCATCTCCTCAGCCTGTCATACAAGCATTTAACACAGGCAGGTATTTTCCTCATCAGACTTCTTAGAAAAACCTCAAGAAATATTTTGCTACGTTAGTTTCTGTTTGACGTGCCCTAAGGAGTCCTGTCTGTCTTGGAAAATTATTTTTGTGCACGAATAGCTCTTAGCGTATGCACATGAATTACAGGGTAAGATGTTAGCTAGCAGGTCATTACGAATGCTGAAATAATTAGTCAGTGTTAATATTTTTTGTGCGTGTGCGAACAGAGAAATACATCCAAATTCTTTTCAGCTCTTTTTAGACAGGTCTTTTCCTATGTTCTCCCCCATAATTTACTGCTTCTCGGAGCTGCGTTTAAAGCGAATGACTAATTGCTGCAGCCAACTCACGCTGAAAAGGTGGACAGTTGGAAGAGCACAAGTGTTAATTACTGAGTCTAGCTGTTCTTGCTTGCCTTCATCTCTTAGTGATGCTGACGGTCAAGATCTTGAGCAAATGTGCATTCCATGCATTCCTAAGTGTATTCCATCCATTTTCTTACCTCTATATTCAGTACAGGGTCGCATGGGAGCTGGAGCCTAAACCAGCAAACAATGAGTGCAAGGAGAGATGTATCCTCGAGGGAGTGTCGGTCCATTGCATGGCAGACACACACACACACACCAAGCCCGATTTTCCCTGAAGCCAATTAACATTCCGACAAATCTTTCGACAGTGGGAGGAAACTGGAGCACCCGGAGGAGACCCCTGTGAACACTGCGAGCTCTACATCCAATCTCAATAGCACCCCAGGAATTGAGCGCAGGGCCCCAGCACTGCTAACCACTACGCCAGCATGCCTTCCCAAACATGTATTGAAAATGAGGAATATATACAATAATAATTATAACAAAGCTGCTTCAGCTGTGTTTATTCAGCTCTGTAAATGACGAATAATTTCAATCGTCAGGGGTGTCCCGGAGCATCTATTTCATATTTGTTTACAAGAAAATAATGCCCTTACTGTGTCATGCTCATTTCAATGGTGGTGCTACTACAGTCATTATGGCGAGACTGAATGTACTCCGTGAGGTGATTCACTATTTCTGAACCTACGAAGTATGAAATTGTATGTATGAAATCTAATATTTTATTCTGATGGACTGTGGAATGCAGTTACTGCAGTTTAATTCACGGTGATATGTGTGAAATTCAGTTTAGGATAGTTCTAAATTTCTCATTGTTACTTTTTCAGACATTTTCACATTAATGAATAGTGGATATTAATGTGTCAATGTCCATTATGAAAGCAGGACGTGAAAGAAAAAAAGTGACTGGCAAGACCTAAGATATCTAAACCTAGAAATGTAGAAGTGGCATGCATCTGAAAAATAGCATATAGAAAAATATTCCCAATTGCTGCTATTTTATAAAGAAGGCAGTTAGGCAGTTACTGTGGGATATGTGATGTATTCCTGATGTCTCATGAAGTTTTGTAAATAGAAACATATTTGTTCTTAACATTCTTTGACTCTGCAATTCACTGTATTGCTGTTTTTCTAGTGTAACCCAATTGATCACAGCTTGGTCTCTTGGATGTATCTAATCGTATAGACACAACTGTGATCTAGTTTAGCAAACATGTTCTCAAGCATGCTGTAGGTATAATGTGTTTTGACTAAAAGAATACAGTGCTCTCAATGGGGGAAGAACAGGCTCACAATGTAGGCACAAATGATCGACTGACATCCGCAGTGTTTTCTTTCGGGCGTGACTTGTGCTCGTCAGTAAAATCAGTACGAGAACAAGGTACAGTATATTTGACTTTTCAGTTCGAAGCTGGTCTGGAGGCAGTGGCTCAGGACCGTTGACTCGGCAGAATGTAGCAGACAAATATGCCTGCAATCTCAGTCAAAAATGGGGGGGTTTACAGCCTTAGTAAAAAGCAGTTGAGTTAGGAAGCATTAGCGTAAACTGTTGCTTTGCTTGAAAATGCGTTAAGCTTAGAAGAAAATATAGTTTTGCCGTAAAAAGCATTCTTTCATCATCTGTTTTTCACACTTAGTCCTATTTCTCTCCTAGAGCATACTGTATGTACACTGTTGGAACTTTTTGTTTTGTTCTACTGTACTATAACGCACATGTCATAGTATTTCACTTGGGATCAGTCAAAGGGACGTGAATTCATACATTTCGAATCCCCTTCAGCCCTTTGGATGACATCTGAACCGACAGTGGATCAGAGGGCACAAATTGGAACTGGACGGGAGAAGTACATTTAAAATGAAGAATAGGAGGCACTTCTTACACAAAGGGTAGCAGGAGCATGGAACAAGTTACACAAACCCATGTTGCTGAAACTGATATCTTGGCTTCTTTCAAAGAATGGCTGGATGAGATCCTCATATCCCTTAGCATCTAAAGACCATCTAGATCACCCAAATGCCTCGTTTTTATTGGACAAACTTCTTTTTGGGATTTAAGTACTTTAGTTCAGTACAGTGTCTTGTGTTTTTGGGGTGGGTAAAGAAGAGGGATCTGCTCATGTGTAAGCTGCTTTCCTGAGAGTTCTGCATGATGTTGAAAATTATACAATATTTTTCTATTTTCAGATTTAAGTGCAGTGCAGATTTTGTGCGCACACTGACCTGTGTTCACATTAATGAAACAATTAATTTAAAGAAGCCTTTCATGGTGATTTCATTTATAGACATTATCCTGCGTTTCTGTCTTATATATTTCAGTTAATCATGTTTTAATTGGCATCTTAGTAAAGAATTCAAGTATGATGGCTGTCCCATGCAAAATGGAAAGTCTGTCGACAGGTATATTATTAAGAAATTCAAAATGAAATGCGCGTGCTTTAAAATCCAATCGCTAGACTGTTTCTACAGTTATGACAGTTTAAATACATATTGTCTGGTTTAATGGAGAGAATCCATTTGTTAGAGAATTGTTAAAAATTAATCATTTATGTGTTCTTCTTTTTACCTCTTTTTTAGGCAGAAGCTGATGATTGATGGGGAGAAAAATCCTGTCATCCTCAACACTTACTTCAGCCAGAAAGTTGTTTCCGTGGAAATGGGGGAGAACAGGCCCAAACAAAGAGAGACATTCCTGAGTGAAAAACCCATTCCCTACTCTTTAGTACGAGTGTTCAACCTGACGGACGAGAGTGAAAACCTGACAACAAGGGACCTTTTCTGCAGGCAGGTGTGTTTGGAAAAACCTGTTCGTGTGTGTTCTGTAGCGACATTAGTTGCTTGCCAACATTTTTAAGCAGAGAAAAGCCCCCCCCAAAAAAGCTGTTTTTTTTTCAGCATTGTGATGAATAGATGCAGCACGGTGGCGTGGCTGATGGGGCTGCTGCCTGACTGTTGGATTTTATTTGGGCCTGGGGAGTCTTCTGTGTGGAGTTCGCAGGTTCCCCCAGCAACCATCTGAGTTTTTGCCATCTGCCGTGATTTCCGCTCACTGTCCAGAGACTTGTGGTTTAGTTGGCAACTCTAAATTGTCCCCCGTAATCGTGTGTGAGCAGCATGCGAGCACGCCTTGTGATGGACTGACATCTTTCCCACGTCCCGCCTTGCACAGCACGGCTGCCCTGTGTGTCTGCCGGGGGGACAGTCCTGCGTGGGACTAAGCAGGCGATGAAGACAGACAGGCAGACGGATGGATGTAATTAATAGGACAAATCACAGGCGAAAAGCTCAACGTATGTAGTGTCAAGCACACTTGTAATGAATAGAGGCATCGATCAGTGAGATTCATACCATCGGCTGTCGCAATAAAGCCCAATCCATCAGTCAGGATCCCAACCATCCCGGCCACAAACTGCTCTTCCCCCTGCGCGCTGGCAAGCGGTACTGCGCTATTAAAGCTCAGACCACTAGACTTAAGAACAGCTTCTATCCCACTGCGGTGTGCATCCTTAACCGCTAACCGCAATGCCTCAGACTCAGTACACATCTGCACTTTGCACTTGTTGCATGGTCTACCCTGTATTTTCTCACTAATACATATTTATTGCCCCCCAACATATTTATTGTTACTGTTGTTATTATTTCTTATGTTTGTAATGTACCGTCTACATTGTGTGGTGTGTCTGTCCTGAGAGGTTGGCGTCAATAAGAATTCATATGGCAGTAAACTCAATCACTTGCTTAACATGGAAGACGTGCTTTGAGTTTGGTGTTTCATCAGCAGGTGCCCCCGGCCTCCCCGAAGCCCCTGCCCTCTCCGGCATCCCAGAGGGAGTGTGATCCAGGTGTGTCCGACTCGCTGCTGGACGTGATCGAAGGCCAGTGGGCAGCCGGACGGCTGGGGATGGATGTCATTGTAGTGGTCCAGAGAGTCTACTGGCTCCCCTTCAGAGAGCTTGCAACTCCACAGCTCCTCAAGGACAAGGCCCTGTCTTCAGGGCCTCGTCAGCGCACTGCCAGGTAAGTGACAGAGCTGTAGCATGTTCCTGCCTTGTGGAAGTGTGCTTCTGTTGTAGCTGTATTGCTGGTGAGGTCCAATCATGGCAAAGCACTGTCCTTTTGTACTTTACTGTAAGTGAAGAAGTAGATGTTCAGATGTTCAATAACACTTTTATTGCCCAGGAAGATGTTAGTCTTCTTCAAATAATTACTTGTAGCTTTCAAACTGCACACAGGTGGCAATATTCCTGTTTCTGTTGGGATCAAAGAATAGACTTTGGGAGGAGCTTGTGGGAAAAAAATATCTTCAAATAATTACTTTAAAATAATTGAATATGAGTTTTTATCATTTCAAAACGGGCTGTTGCATGCGCTAGATATCAATGAAGTCTTCTTAAAACTACACAGAATTACAAAGATGTCAAATGATTGCACTGTCAGTGTATAATGTAGTTTATATAGTATATTTTTAACTTGATTTTTATTTTTTTTCTTGGACTTAACTGTGCTTTTAAAGATACTATAGGTGTAATTGCAGGAACTTTCTAGTGCCTGGCACTGTTGTTTTTGGCTGGTAACTGATCCCAACCTGCTGGGAATCTGGCAGACAGCCATGTTTGCATGCTCAGGCTTCAAACAATTGTGAACGATAATTGAGTTGTCTGCATTTTATTAGCACTTCTTCTCAACAAAATCCTAAGAAACTAGCAGAGAGAATTGTGCATCTTCTCTCTGCTATCATTTGGAGCTTTATTGTCACGTGTTTCTTTTTAAACTGAGATAAGCACAGTGTCCGATCTTTGGGATTAGGATGCATTTTGTTAGGAAATTAACTTTTCAGACGGACGCTTTTATTTGGGCTGCATAATAAAGGAGGTCTGATAATGTATGTGTTAGTGGTTGTTTTAGTTCTGGTGCCGCAGGCTTCAATCTGGTGAGCGTGTAAGCACTGTTCTAGTTCTTTCACACCAGATCCCTTGTGAGGTCACAGTCATGCCAACTATCAAAGCCATGATGGCTCAACTCCAGCACGGTGATTTAGTCTTCTTGTGCATTGCTTCTTGCTGTCTCTGATCACTGGACTCTCTCTGTTTTGCTAACTTGCCAGGGCAAAATGGCAAACTTTCAGCGACTGGCAATTCTGCCGTTACCCTCCAAGACAGTGAAGGGTCCCACTTTTCACACCTACATTTCCTTGTGTCTGATTTGCATGCTTGTATTTTAGAAGTTCCCAAATTGGCTGTGACTTTTATAGTTACTTTCAACAAGGACCCATCCCTCCATTTTCTAATTGCTTCATCTAGTTCAGGGTTGTGGAGAAGCCAGAACCTATCTCGGCTTGCGACGGGCTCAAGGCAGGGTGCACCCTGGACAGGTTGCTAGTCCGCCGTAGGCCATGCAGAGGCACAAACACGCACACACTCACCACTCATGCATGGTCAATTAATCTACCAGTGTGTCTTTGGACTGTGGGAGGAAACCAGAGCAGCTGGAGGAAACCCACATGAACACATAAAGAACATACAGTACAACCTCCATGCAGATCAAATTGAACCAGGACCCCAGCAGTGCTAACCACTGGGCTACTGTGCTGCCCTCAGCAAGGACCCTTGAGATATTAATCATTTTGCAATGTTATGTTTGTATATGTGATATTAACAGTCACTTACAATTACTTATATTTCAGAAATGTAAACATGTGTCCATTCTTTACTGTATTATTTTTGTCATTTGTTAATATACTTTCACAGGCCGAGAGGAGTCCATTTCAAATGTACGATAACAGTTCCACCCCGGACCTATACCATTATATACTGACTTTAAAAAAAGGCAGAATAATTAGATTTTTGTGTAATCATGAAATATTACAAACTGCACTGCACTGGGCAGAACCTCCTCAAAAACCTTCCAATTTTTAAAATCAAAAAATATATTAGGTGCAATCTTCGCCTGGGCTGAAATGTTTTCAGGTTTATCCGGAGACTCACTAATGTTTCTTAGAGTTTTGTTTTTTGTTACTATCATTTCTTGTGTTGCATGAAACCTTCATCTTCATCTGTATCTTTCTTCTTCCTCACGCTCTGTGTAGAAGTGTTGTGGCCAGCCATACTGTGCTTGGGGTTATTTCCTCGTTATTGTTATTCTCTTCAAGATATGCCGTCAGTCCTGTGGGAAATTGAGATTTGTTTATTACTCAAGTGTCAGTTTTATAGTTTTGCCTTTATGGGAAAACCCACTAAAAATGAAAAGTTGTCAGTCCTATTTCTAGAGGTTCATTATTCAAAATGCCTGAATGTGCCTTGTTGACATTTACTTCCTTCGTGGTTTTGATGATTTCCCTCTAAATATAATGGATTACTTTTTGCTTTGAGAGTAACATAGAATAAGACTATATAATAAGTACTAATATAAGTACTTTGTGGACTATTCACATATTGTAGATGTGCATATATCTGTGCTTTATGACATATGTTCTGTACTGAGGTTTCTCTTGTGGTTAAGCACTTCTATCTTTGTGATGAGTAACGTCAGATTAGTTTCACTTTCGTGGCAAAAACGTCAGATGCTAATTTAGATCTTATTTTTTCACTGCTTTTGTTTTGTACTCGCACCATTAATATAGATGTTTTGTACCAGCTAATTTTGGGGGGTTTCACAAAATTTTTCTATATATGTTTTTTGGGATTTTTTTACATCCGTTTGTTTGCTGGTGGTTTTTAAGTCATGCCCTAATTCTGTTGCACTCATACGGTTATCATATCTTACTGTTCTCAACGGTGGAGCCGATTGTAATTTAAAATAACCTAACAGAGGCAGCCCATAGCTTATGTGATAGTTAGGTAGCTAAGTGACCCTCAAGAAGCATCTGAATGAAACTTTAACGAGGACTAAGACACCTGGCCAGGAAACATGTTCCAGACGATCTGCCTATAAAGAAACATTTCCTATTTTCCATCCTGAATGAGTTCCCTTTCAGTTACCAATTGTGACCCAATGTCCTCTCTTTTCTCCTTAGGTTGGCCCTGTCTGTAGTTCTCAGGATTTTATATACAGTTGGATTCATTCTCCTCTTTTTTTTGTTTTGCTTAGACAAAAGAGATTTAGGTGTTTTAACCTGTTGGTATCTGACAGTCCCTTGAGACCAGGATTCATTATCGCTGCTCTCTTTTGAACACTTTCTAAGACCATCTCCTTTTAGTGGCATGGAAACCAAAACTGAACACAAAGGATTCAGTGAGGCCTCACTATGACATAGTATTGATTGAACATAACTTTCCTGGATTTACATTTCATATCTTTTGCTACATACACCAGTATTGTTGGCTTTTTTATTGCTTCCCCACATTGTCTTTACAAGGACATAGAAGAATCTACATGAACACCCAGATTCATATCGTGCATGACTTCCTGCAGCCCAGGATCACCTGCGCAGTGTATAATGTATGCTCCTCGTTCCTGTGTGGAATTTTGTCCTTTTCAGAATTATTTCATTTAACTACTGGAAAACCGATTTCTGTTTTTTTCTTCTTCTTTTATAATTACATTTGATTTAGTTTGCACTTTGATACTGAATCTACCTTACTAATACAGATCAAGGCATTCAGTGAAACCCTATGGCACACCACTTCTTATGTCAGCCCAGTATGCTGCTGTGCCTCTTAACATGTTGTCGTTTACTGTTCCTTGACCAGTTCTTAACCCATGTGGATTGGATTCCTATGGCTTTTCATTTTTTTTTAATTTAAGAATGGAAAAAATAGAAAAAAATATCCTTGTCAGAAATGATCCTGTCACTCCACGAAGAAGGCATTAAAAAAAAAAAAAACATCTAAAATCCTGCATGCGGTTTGCAACAAAGCATCTACATGTGGCAAAAAAATGTGGAGCTTTTTGGTCTAAATAAAAGACACAACACAATAACGAAGTAACTGTCGAGACTGGGATGCTTGTCAAGACTGATAGATGGAGGAAACGGACGTCAAATCTTAGAGTGAAACCTGCTTCAGTCCTGAAACTGGGACAAGAATCGCCCTTTCAGCAGGACAGTGATCTAAGCACATGGCTTAAGAATAGGAAGGTGAATGTCCTTGAGTGGCCCAGCCAAAGTACTGACCTGAATCCTTTTGAGAATATGGAGAAAAACTGGGAAGCTGCTGGCCATAAGTGCTCTCCACAGAGAAACCAAGGAAAGTGTAAGCAGATCTGTCAAGAAGAGGGCAAAACAAACACACGTTACACCAGTTCGGTGTGCAAAGGTGGCAAAGCCTTATACAAAAAGTGTCTGTATTGCTGCCGAAGGTGCTTCTACCCAAAATTGAGTCCACAGGTCGGAACACATTTATTAAATCAATCGGTTTTTCTCTTTTTGACATCTACTGTAACTTATCTGTCCTCAGAAATCTTCCGTTGGAGCACTCAGGTTTGGAATAAAACATTAAGGTAAAAATGTAGATACCTTATGCAATGGACTGAAAACACATTTAATGAAGTGAATTTGTGAAAATTCCTAGATAAATCTCATTTAGAAAATAATTAGGTTAACTGTTTAATGTGATTCTACTGTGCGTAACCTCCCTGGTCTGTAATTTCCATGTTCCATATGGAGTGATCCAATACGTACTGTAGGTGCAGCTTACTGTATATAGCTGGTGATGAATACTTGAATACTGGGAATGCTGCATGGGAAATAAAATCAAGCCCAAATGATTTATTGCAAAATGATTTATACATTAAACAAAAAAGTATTAATCTTGAACCCCCCTGGCCTGTGTAGAACCCGTGTCAGTGTCTTTGGACCGGTACTAATGGAGCTTGTTCTGTAGTATTATTAAATTATCGTAAACTCCTGCATGATTTGGTTATAGCTTTTCTACTGTTTCCTTTTCTTCTACTATTAATCCCCTCTTACTCATTCTAACTTTGCTTTATGTTTCCTTGCAGTTCCTGTACTGGAAAACACTTTTTTTAGCTGTGCCTGTAGCTTCCTCTGCTCTTCTTCTGAATCTTGAGCCCTTTTATTG